CCCGACCCCCCACCCCAGGAATTCCAACACTTATCACTAAATTCTCCCACATTGTGCATTAGTCTAGTATTGGAAAATGCAGTCTTTTGCAGACACAGAATGCTAAATTAATGTCCCCCTCACCTCCCCAGCTGTGGCAATTTGTATTGATCTTGCTCATCGGTCTCACCGACAGTTATGGCATTTTCATTTCAAGGCTCCTGACTCAGGAAAATACTCTGACTAGCTTTGAGTGATTGGGTGCAACAGAAGACAAACTAAACTCTAAAAAAATCTCCCCTCTCGTCCATCTTCTGTAAAGAAGATCGAATCTACAGGTGGACCCATCGTTACCCTCCAAGACTGTAAATCATGCTTTGTAATTCAGAGCCTGGGTACAGCCTTCCAACAAATAATTATTGTTTCTCCCTACATGTTCGGCAAACAGACCACCCTCAGACAAAGGGACAGGAAAAGGCAAGGGCATAATGAATTGGTTGTTCTCCCCTTTCCTTTTCGATTCTGGAATTAAATAGAAATCCTTGAAAATTATTCTGAAATGTCAAAGATGAAACATTAGGCCATTTCTGAACATGAAATAGGCTCTCCGTTCTCAGAAAAGGAAATGTGGGCACATTTTAATTATTTGATGCCTGAGATCGTCATGGGCAAGAGGAACATCCGTGAGCGTGGAACAGAATTCCTCCCACAAACTGCCGCACACCAACTCACACACTAGTGGGTGGGAGAATTCTCTGCTGCCCCAGGCCATGGTGAGCTGGGAGGAGTGGCTGAAGAGACTTCATTGGGTGGAGTGTTAAGCCATGTTTATCTTTCCTTCGCCCATTCACTCATTATACCAGTGATGGCGAACCTTTTGAGCTCGGCGTGTCAGCATTTTGAAAAACCCTAACTTAACTCTGGTGCCGTGTCACATATAGAAATTTTTTGATATTTGCAACCACAGTAAAACAGACTTATATTTTTGATATTTACTTTATATATTTAAATGCCATTTAACAAAGAGAAATCAACCAAAAAAAAAGAGTTCGCGTGTCACCCCTGACACGCGTGTCATAGGTTCGCCATCCCTGCATTATACCTTAAGCCTTTAGTAGAACAGGTGACAGAAAGCTTGGCCAATTACGCCATGCTTGTTGCATGTGGAATTGTGCCCCTGTGTTCCGAGTACATCCATCTCTGGTTCCTGGTTCCATCAACCTTACTTCCAGTTGGTAGTCATTCAGAGTCCAGAAATTGCAGCTGGCGGTGGGTGTTTTGTCAGTTGGAGACTAAATCCAGAATGGCAAGAATATACTTAGGAACGTGCTATTGGATCTTTTCCTGCCTGCTTCATTGAGTAATCTCAAGCAAATCACTTGACCTTTTTGTGTCTTTATTAAATGTCTTCTCATATACTCAGCCGTTTTCATGTATCCTTCCTCATGAAAAGCTATCATATTTTTGGGGAGAAGGACCCTCGGGTGTGTGTGTATGTATGTGTGTGTGTATGTGAATGTGTTAGTAATTCATTCTGGCACTAAAGTGTGGTATCTAAGATTCAGAGCCCAGGTTCCTGGGAGTGCATCCTGGCTCTTTCATGTGATTGATTGACACTGAGGTAGTTCCTCTCCGCGTCTCAGATTGTCCCCTCTGTGAACAACAGTACCTACATGTTGGTGGTTCTGTGAGGAGTAAATGAGTTAAGGTATATTTATAGCACTTAGAATAGTGCCAGGCAAACAGTAAGTGCCATGTGCATGCTGGCTTTTGCAGTTAGCCATTAATTCATGTTCAGCCATCTCAAAAATTAACCAGCTAATGACTGAACATTAACGATCCACTGTTGAAACCAAAACCAAAAGCCCCAATGAAGAGTTCAATAGAATTTTCACCTATCCCATAGAGATATGAGCAGAGAGGTGGGTCAATTCCTATAATGGACTCTTGGCTTTTTCTGAAAGCAATTTATGATAGAATTGATCTAATCTTAAGAAAATATGGCACACTTTCTTTTTTTTCAGACAGTAACGCTCTAATGGCAAATATTTAACAACATCTAGAGATTCTCAAACAATAATAATTATTTTGATTTAAAGTTGATTTTAAAACTATGTCTTTTCCTCTTGTGATTTTGAACAGTAATTACAATTTTCATTTCTTCCCCCATATGTTCCTACGTTAAAATGTCACATGGAGGTGGAGGCGACAGCACACTGCTATTATTTGGGGGAAGAGAAGCAGCTCTCTCTTTTGAAATCAAAGCCAAGAACATAAAAGATAAAATAAAATGAAAACACCGAGCTACTTGATACAGGTGTTGACTTCAAGTCTTCTATTGGTAATTTGTTGAGAAAGTCCTAATCAAGCTGTGTTAACGAAATGAAGTCATTGTCAAAAATCAGTATTTTCTGGAATATGACTCTTTTAACATTTTCCAAAGACCCCCGGCTGTGCTATGGCACCATCCACACTGAGGCAGAGCTATTGCCTGGCCCAGGGCAAGGCTATCTCATGAGGTCACAGGACTCACACTGGGAAAAGCAGGGGCGGGACTTACATTAGGGCAGGTACGCAGCCTTGGGCGCTGCAGTCACAACTTGGTAACATTAGAATGGTTACAGTTAGACTCCTAGAAGAAGGAGAAGCAAGGGTTCCTCGGGGATGTGGGGTTGACTAGATTTTTTAAACTGGGACCTAAGAGGGTTGAGTCTGAAATGGAAACGCGACAATGAACAGAGAGGATCAGAAGAGCAAGGGGACTAGAGCAGTCAGGGACAGAAAAGATGAAGTCATTTTCCAACTCTTGCCTGATGGCTCATTTCCAGCACCCAGGGAACTGCTTCTCAACTGGCATGCCTGCCCCTCACCCCAGGGTGTGCTACTGAATTCAGATCGATGTGTACAAAACCCATTTTTGCCATGTATCACGTGACGGCTGGCTGAGCGGAGCAGATCCTATGACACAGCGTAGCTCAGGGCGCGGCTTGCTGTAAATGAGAAGAGGCAAGGAGTAGTGTCAGGGAGGTGCCAGAGGAAGACTGCGTGTGTATTACCTTTGAAATAAATGCAGTCTCGTGAGATTCTGAAAGAGAGTGATCAAGGCAGTGAACCCCGACATGCAAACAGCGACAACATGGAAAGGGTGACCGAGGGACTGTGAATGCAAATGAGTACTGTCCTCAAAGTCCATATTCAAATTGTGCCTCAAACACACACCTGTCTTAAGGAATGAGGGCACCCCGTATAAACCTCGTTCTGGAGAGGACGGCTACCTTTGTGTGTTCCAGAAATGGAAGGTTAGTATGTTCTACCCCGAGTGCTGCTGTAGCACAAAGTGGGCTAAATTTTCTCTCATCCTAAACAACAACAACAACAAAAACCCAACCAACACTAAGGACAGCGAAAGTCCTTCACACGTTCAGGACAATTTTGAGCTTATCAGAATTGTAAACTTGAACAACAATTAAAAATAGGGATTAGTAACTGTTATGTTTTTTGGTTTTTTTTTTAACTCACGTCCCACCTACCTGAATCAAACTTGCTGCTTGCCCCATTTCTCTCTCCCACCTGAAGACCCGCCCAGCTGCCAGGTGGGGTTGGCAAGACCAGGATCAGCAGTGGAAGCCCTGGCTCTCCATTTGCCACAAGATGTTTTTTGGAGTCCGCAGGGCTGCCATGTGCATGAATATCACGGGCATCTGTTTCCATTGACTTCTGTAGAGAACTCTCCTTCCGGCCTCCTCTTCTCTGATTCCCAGGCTAGCAAGGTGGAATGACCCAGCCCAGTGGTCGGCAAACTGCGGCTCATGAGCCACATGCGGCTCTTTGGCCCCTTGAGTGTGGCTCTTCCTAAGCCTTAGGAGTATCCTAATTAAGTTAATAACAATGTACCTACCTATATAGTTTAAGTTTAAAAAATGTGGCTCTCAAAAGAAATTTCAATCGTTGTACTG